CCCCCCCCCCCCTTCCTATTTGGGAAGACTTGGCAAACGAGCCACAAACTTGGATGATGCAGCTGCCCGCCGATGCCCAAATCCCCACCGCACCTCCAGCCTTTTTGTACCCTTTCGTTTCACCTCTCTCTCTGTCTCTCTCGCTCTCTGCCTTTCTCCCTGTGTGTCGCTTTTTGGACGCCCTTATCGCGCTCGCACACAGGAGCGCAGGGATGCCGCGTTGAGGGGACAGTTCACCGTCAAGCGGAGGCCGCAGGAGGCGGCGGCGGGAGGCGCTCACCCGATGCTGGCAGAGCCCGGTGGCAAGAGCAGCGGCGGAATATTCGACCGAAAGCCCAAGGCGGTGTTGGACCCGCTGGCCGTTCGCCCGCTCGTGAACGTTGCCTCGTTGCCGAGCCGCAAGCCTGTCGGGGTGTACGGCAGGGAACGCCGGTCAGTAGTTAACTTACCGTTCTCGCTCTACGACGGGGGTAGGGTTAGGGACTGATACTGAGGTTTGGTTGCGATGCGGTATCAGCGGCAAGCGCTATTATATTATAGGCATGGCGCGGCGTCTCCCCTCGCATCATGAATTGTGAAGGCTAGCGCCTTTTGGCGGCCATCCTTTGGTTAATATGTTTTTTTTCTTTCCACGGTTTTCGTGTGCCAGCACAGTGCGGCTTTTCCGGACGCTCTGCTGACGCGCCCCCCCGGGGTTTCTCTTCCCTCCTTCTCTTCTGCCGTGCCACACGCTGGCGCCACAGGTACGACGGCGCGCACAGCGAGGGCAACCGCTTCATCATGGACGACCACTTGTGATGCATGGCCATGTTTTGGCGTAGCTGGCTGTATTGTTGTCCTGGGAAAGTCGCAGTGGGAATGGCGCTGAGCCAGGGCAGACTGGGCGAGGTATCACAAAGGATGGTTTGTACAGGAAAGGCAAGTTTCCTCTTGAGCTGTCTGGGGAGGTCAGTATTTCATCCGACCGGGTGAGATGCAGCGATATACTTCGCAGTTGGTGCTGGTGGTTTAAATGTTGTGGTGATGCGTGGGACCACGGGGGCGGCGGTGAGTTACGAGTTTGCTGTGACGGGGCCTCTCTGCGGGTATTATGCCGCTCTGTGGCAAGTTGCTACCCCTCTCCCGGCTTGTTGTGTTTTGCTGTTGTTCATTCCACACCTGTTGCGGACAGTGCCGGAATGGAAGACCACAGCGAAGGTTCGGGAGCCGCGTACAGCGTTGCATGTAAAATTAAATGATGAACGGATACGATTGCGGGTTCCTATGCTATCTACTGTTGTCGCCGGGGATTCTGTTTTGTTCTCGACTCGACGGCGGGTTGGTTGGGTGTCCTAGGTTTTTCTGTCTCCCGCTACATATGTAAAGCGAGAGGCGCTTCCTCTGCTGAACAACTCGGAGATGTTACCCGCGATGCCTTAGAAAGTATTTCCTGTGGTTCCCTGCGGTTGGTATAGCCCTCACTTACCCGCCGAATCACTGTACTTCCCATGACGGAGGGCGGCAGTCGGTGTTTGTTGCTTGCCTTCATCTGGAGATTTACCGGAGGGTTGGATATCACCTCGGACCCCATGGGTGTGAGGATTTTCGCACTGACGAGTTTCTCAGAACAAAAATTGAGTTTAAAAGCTCTCTATTTATTACAGCCAACTCAATCGTGCCGGGGGGGTGGCGGCGGCGGTTCTAATCGAATCGTGATGAGGGCACCCTGTCTGGCTGGTCTGGTGTGGGTGGTCACGTGTGAAAGGCTTTGGACAATCAGCAATCATCACGCATTGCTGAGGTTGCCCTCGCGAGTGCCGCATGTTTTGCGCCACGTGGCCGCCGGGTAGACCATGTCCTTTCCACAAGGCGCCACGAACTCTATCTTGTAGGCATCAAATCTGACGCTCAGACCGCGTGTGCCCGTGTGGACCGGCACGGATCTACTGTACACCGGAATTCGTCGCCATTTCTCCTATTCTGACGCCCCTGAAGGAGTTTCAGGTTCTGCCACAAACAAAAGATACTGCAGATCGGAGAACTTTACTTCTTTCTACGCTAGAAAAAGACGGTCCATATCCGCGACAAAACGTGGACCCCGCCCCTCTATTGAACCCGAAAAATAGTAACAACCATCTGCATCCACGTTTTGGGACAAGAACGAGTATATCTGAATCGCGATGCGGGGTTCGGTGATACCTGCAAGCTGACATCAACAAAAGCAGGACAGGGCGGGAAAATACCGTCGCTCATCTCGCGCTCAAGCTTTGTCTCGCCACCAGCTGGCCCCGCACCGCTCTCGGCGATGCTGACCCATGACGACTAGCGCCAAACCCCCCCACTATCCTACCCCTCGTCACACCCTTCCCGGAGGTATCCGGTCGCACAGGTACCCGTCGAGGCGTTCGTCTCAAGCCCCTACCGCTAGCATTGCCGCCGCCACCACTAGCCAACAACCCGGTGGAGACAAACTGCAACGGGCCCACTTTGGTTGCCGTGGAGCTGATGCTGCTCTCGCAGTAGCGGTCGAGCTCTTCCTCTGCGTACTTTCGGTGCGCCCGGGCGGGCCTCCTGCTGACGTCCACGAGGATTTCGTGCCCGCTCGCACCCCCATCGTCACTGCCCCCTTCCACCGAATCGGACCCGTGGCGGTCATCATCTCTCACAGCGTCGTGACGTTTCCCCAGTCGAAGCGGTGGGATCTTGTCGCTGTTGCTAGGTGCGCTGCCGAAGGCCTTTGTTGCCGTGTCGATTGTGTTGATGCATCCCTTGCGGGATCGACAGGAGGGTAGCAGCGGCTGCTCGTTGGAGTCACCTCCTTCGTTGTTTGCTGTACCAGCAACCGGGCGGGTCAAGCTGGGTAATGACGTTGCGTCCATGATAACACGCTCCGCCGCTCTTATCTTGCGGTCCTCCTGCGCCCGCCTGGTGACACGACGAAAACAGCGACGCGGGGACACCGTCCGTTGGATACTTGTTGAGAGCAGCAGTCGTCGCAAACATCAACCACAGTGGGAGGGTTTGGATATGTTATATACATAAATGTAGCATCGAAATAATTTGGGGAGGGAAACACGGCGGGAGGAGCATCGAGTCATTGTCGTTCGAAAGACGTATGAACGACTGGTTCACAGGGCTGCCGTGTTACCCCTGTAGTAGACTTCGCTCCGACGGGGCAGGGGTGGCCTGCGAGGGGAGGAACCGTCCCACGAGCCCAACTCTAAGGCAGGGGGGTATTTTCTCGTTCGAAACCTCGACCCACACCCCAGGGAAGCCCATGGTTTTCAAGGCACTCGAGGCCATGTGCTGTGTGGGGGAGGTAGCTTACTCGGAGCGGGGGGCTACCCCCGGGTGTAATAGTGGTGCTTTTGCGCACATACTTTAGTTTAGGGTACAGAGTACTTTGATTGACATTGCATATCTTGAGGGGGGCCTGCCGTGAAGAGGTGGGAGGGGGAGTACTCGTTGCGAGAGGGTCGGCTGCGGCTGCGGCTGCGGCTGCGGCTGCGGCTGCGGCGGCGGGAGGGCGACTTGCAGACATGGGATCACGTGACCTACTTGTGCACAACAGAGATTGGGGAAAAAACACCGAATCGAAAGGCAGTCGTACATCCAGGCCCGTCCCACTACCAAGCGTGCGAACAAAGAGAGTTCTAGGGAGACTAAATTTGGCCAATCCGAGTACCTACCTGTTGACCCGAAATATCCAGGGGGTGTCCGGGTCGTTCTTCTGGCGTAGCACGCCCTGGAGGTTCCCCAGCGGAGACCATAACTGCCAGAGACACATGTGAGGGGAAAGGCCGCGAGACCGGGGTGCCCGTGCAGTGTTTTCGTGGGGAGCAATAGAGTGTAGTGCGATTCTCGTTGGTATGCCGTGTAGCGTAGTGTTAGCACCCCAAAACTGTGCTCGAGAACAACGATGTTGAGATGAACGGCAAGAGGTGAACAAGACACAATCGATGTCATTGCAGCGAGGGACAGTTTCGGACACTATGGAAGTTGTGGGCTGTAGCGCGAGAGTTGAACCCATAGCGACTAATATGATGTTTTGACTCATGGACAGACTAGAGCGTAAGTGTTTTGGGTGGAGAAAGGGGACGCCTGGTACATGTACGCGCTCTGAAGAAAGCAAACGAAGCGGCTGTTGGTGGCCTCGTTCTTGCCAACGGGAAGCATTTCCTGTCCGACCGGTGTTGTCTTGCGTCGGGTATTCTGCTATCGATCGATCGTAACAACTAACGAGGTAAAATGCCTCTCCCACAAATGTAACAGGTGTCGAATTTGAACGCATTCCGGAGCCAGCCCACTAATTCAAGAATCAAACTACACACATACCTTGACAAGACGATCCATTGCGGACGTGATCACCGTCGGCGGGTCGCTGACCATGCTCACGGAAATTATAGGCTCAGAGTGAGCTTCCCAAGATCCAATCCTGCGAAGAGATGCAGTGTACAGGGGGTGGGAAACGGGGTGTGCTTGACACTATGTAGGTAGGGCAAGGGCACCGCACTGCTTCGAAGTAGCAAGCAACTTATTTGCCCTCCTGCAACCGTGCGAACCACTACAAGCTCGGTTTAACAAAAACTTTCGACCATGATACTTGCATTCCTAAGCATCACCTCCCAATCACGTGTCCCACCCAGTTTTTAGCAAGCATTGGTTCCAAGTTGTGAACGGTTGCGATAAGCTGTACCATTGTAGCATCTAGGTAGCACAAGGGTGTGAATGCTTGCCGTCGGCACGGGTGAAGCGAAGAAAATGTTTCCCTACGAAACATTAGACTAGGACATCTCGGTGCTCACAGGAAGATCAGATTAGGTACAGACGCGCTGAGGAAGGTCCCCGATTCTTTTCGACCGGCTCAGGTTCCACCTGGTGTACCCCCGTAGCGTGCGTCCAATAATTGATGACAGTCGACCTTACTGCCAGCCTCCGAACGTTTAGCAACCAGGCCAGTGTTTCACCTGTGAAGACCGAGGATGTCCGTGTCGGCAACCCAATCCATCGACCCTTTTGCATCCAGGCGATACCGTGCTTCGCGGAGAGCGCTTTCGGCGTCTTGCCGCGCAACGAGAAACGCGTTCGAGTAGACCGCGGGCGATTGCACCACACCCACCCCGTGCCCGGCCCACTCATGCCCGCCGTACCTGCAGCACGCACAATCGCGGGCAAGGCAACCAAGAGGCGCCACCACAGACGGACGCAGCTGTTTTACATTTGCTGCGTTTTTCTGTGGGCGTTTCGCTGACGGTTTCTCGCTAGAATTCGAAGCCTAACCCCACACATCAACTGTCGGGGGGGGGGGGGGG